CTCTCTTTTTTTTTTTTATTCTTCTCTATTTCTTCTTTATTTATAACAATTAGATCTATTTTGTGGTTTTTATAATTATTGGATACCTCTTGAAATCAATTTAAAAAAATACTTGCATGCAATTCAAAATAAAACTCATCTTATATATTTACCTCGTATTCAATAAAATCATTTATAAAACGCGAATCCAAAAAAGAAAAATAAGTCAAATTGTTTAGGGAGAATTACAATGAGATTATGAGAAAAGAAAATAATTACCAATAAATCTAATGATAAGTGATCAGTTGTCATTTATTACTTTAAACCTCGTTATTACATCCTGCCCTGTCATTATTCATTATCACTAAATCTTTTAATAATTATGGTTTTTACTTAAAATTTCATAACAATTCTTCCAATTGTCCTAGTGTGAGATCTATATAAATTTGAGACATATAAAAGTTAGGCGCTTCCATTTGTGGCTCTGTTGCTACTTTTGTAGAAGCAATCGTTGAGTGCTGATTTTCTAGGAAGACCCTCCCATTCCTTCAATCTTACCTCTTTTCGGCTCGTTTAGAACGTGAGCTTGAGCAGCCAAATTTCAATTTGGTTTGAAAGTGAAGGAAGAGATTTGGAGGAGGAAAATTACAAAAAATGTATTTTTAGTAGACTAACTTTATACAAATTTTTAGTTTTGTATTTAACATAATAATATATTAGCAAAATCTCATAAAAATATCACTTGAATTTTAAAATTACAAATAAGTTTTATTTCGTACACTTTAGGCTAAATTGTACAAAACTCTCCTAACTTTCTTCATAGTATTTTAAAGTTTAAATTTAGCCCTTTAACCTTTTTTTTTTTGGTCACGAATCCCTTGTTATTGTCTTATTGGGTGGCCGTTATGTTTTTGGCGGAAAATATGCCGTCAAATCAATAGAAGACATGTGATATCATTCATAACATCTTTTGGAAGTTAATAATTTTAGAAAACCCCCGTCAATTTTAAGTCAATTGCATAAAATCCCACATAACTTTAAAATATTAAATGTAAATTTTGTAATGTCAAAAGAGCCATATACAACCAATCTAAAGTTAAGGGGTACGGTTTTTATAAAATTTACATAAAATACTATGTAGGATGCCACATGTCTTTTATTGATTTGACATAACAATTTATGTCAAAAAAAATAATGGCCACTTAAACGATTAAATTTAAATTTTGAAATGTTATGGAGGTTAGGTGCAATCAACCCAAAATTTATGAGAGTTTTGTATGATTCAACTTACACTTTAGTAGTCAATGATTATGCTTGGTAAACAAATAATAACATATTTTCTGTAAGGATTTTTAATTTAAAATTTTAAATTCAGGTGGTATTTTTTGTGAAATTTTTCCTAATATATATTGTCGCCAGAAACCTTGTCCGTAGCTGGTCGCTGTAGGTGATTCGCCGCCAGCACCGGCGGGGTTTCGACGCTGAACACCGGTGAAGTGAGGATCAGTTGGATGAATTTTTTTTTTTTTAGAAAGAAAATGGAGGTGGGATTTGATTAAACGAAAAAAGAAAAACTGAAACTGGCCAACTCTCATACAATCTTGCTGACAAAGCATGCGCAATGAAATTATTTTTTTAAAAAAATAGAATATAGCATGTACAAAATAGTATTTTTTTTTAATAAAAAATTCCAGGGGTTGAATTTATATATTATCACAGAAACAGTTAGATTTAAAAACTAAAAATTAAACTGAAAATTTATTTATTCATTAACTCAAGAAATAATAATGACCCATTTGATAGACACACACATGATGCACATCATAATGGAGTTGCTTGCCTTGGGCAGCAAGAGGATACTTGAATGACAAGCTCCTGATAGCTTACACGCAAATTATAAATCACAAATTTTTTGTCTTTCAATCATTTGCTAACAAAATGACATTTTTATAATACATACAAAATGTCATATTTTTATTCACCCATTCATGATTTCTGATATCTTAATTTATATAGCTTGCTAGCTGTTTATTCACCCATTCATTTTTTAGTTCATTTTTCCCCCCAAAATACGTCAATTGGTACATGTTAGAAATAGGCCAATTCTGCCGTTTTTTGTACAATTTCTTGTGAAGTCAAATTCTCATCAGTATGAGTCAAGGAAATGATTCCATATAGGTCTCATTTAGTACCAAACATTAAAAATGAGGGATTGTAATTGTGATTGCAATTGAAAAAAATTATTAAAATAGTATTTAGCATGAATAATTATTTGTTATATAGTACTCCCTCCGTTCCTTATTATAAGAGACATTTGATGCTTATGGCATGTTCCTATATATAAGAGACACTTAAAAGTTGTCTCTACTTTTTTGTGTTGATTTCCTATTTTACCCATATTTATTGTCTCTAACTCATACTCTCTCTCCCACCCACTTCTTTTTCTTTTAATAATTTAATTGTTCTCTCTCATGCTCTCTCTCCTTATTAATGAGGGCATTTTAGAAAAAGATTATACTTTTTACACATTGATTGTTCTTAACTAATTTTTTAACTGTTTTTTTTATCAACGTAATTCGGTTATTCGTCTTTTATAATAAGGAACGGAGGGAGTATTAGGTAAACTCATAGATTGGAATTGAGGAATACCACTTTCCCCATAGTATTTTCTAATTACACATACATGGGTTTACTAATCCTATATAACAAGCAATCTTTTTATATTAAACATTCTTTTAATAAATTTTTTTTTAATTTTAAAAATCCCAATCACAATCCCTCATTTTTCAATGATTTCTATCAACCCAACCATAAGGGACATGACGAGTAATAAATACCCTCTTAACTTCTATTTTGATGGACCGCTACTTATTAAAAATGCTACCACTTCTTTAATATAGAACTTGGACCCCAAAAAAATTCTGTTTTCAAATATAAGATTTTAATTTTATTTTGATCTTCAAATTTATACTTTTTTTAAAAAAAATCTGAACATTAATTTACTATGTTACGAGGGATTAACATCTTCTTCTAAACCCAATTCCTCTTAATTTACTTAGAGTGCGGGCTTTATTAGAATCTTCGTACGACGTATAAATAATAGATATACGAATTTTAAAAAATTATAAGATTTATAAATTATAAATAATACGACTCTTTTTCTTTAAAAAGTTTCATACGATGTGCAAGACCTATATCTAATTAATTTACAAAGGGAATTTCTTATATTGTTTGTTATAAATTAAGAAAAATTGGAGAAAAGTTGTTCACTAAAAATTTAATTTGCAAGAGAGACCTAACAAATATTTATACGCACAAACTATAGAACATATGTATCTTGATTTAGGTTCTCCTCACTAATAAAATTTGTAATGGGAGACTTCTGCTGATTTTCCCTCTAACTTATCATGATTTAATTTAATATTAAAATATCACATCAATAAAAACAAATAATTTATTTAAAAATTTGCAACCAAGAATTATTTAAAATTAAACTTAGAAACATAAATAAAGTGATAAACCATTAGCTACTCCAATCCGAAATAAACAACCAATGAACCAACTACCAACTCAATTTTGAAATTGGCGAAAGAAGACGAATTAGAGAAGGTGCTTCAATTTATGAAAATTTTGAAATGAAGATTCCCCGAAATTCTGGAACCGAATACTTGGAACCTGTGTTCTGAGGGAACGAACATGAGCTGTACCTATCATTGGCAAAATAGATTTTTCCTAATATTATATATATATATACATATATAGATACAACTCATATTACAAAATATAAGTATCAAATTTTTAAAGAAATTTAGTTTTTTTAATCAATATTCTCTCGACTTCAAAATATAACTAAACTTTATCTGTTTATGTTAGTAAAAAACTAATTAAATTAGTTTAAAATAATAATATATAAGGCATATTTTTTTTTTCCAAATATACCTTTATTAATAAAGAGAATAAGTAAAGATATAATAAATTAATCAAAGAGAAAAGAGAATATATATGAGTAAAATTAGAAAAAAATTATTAAATGCTTAAATAAAAATGAATATTGTCTTATAAAAAAAACAAACCCCTCCAATAAAGTTTAGCGTATATTTTAAATCAGAGAGAGTATTACTTTGAATTTGTCTAATTAATTATTGATACTTATATTTTGAACCAATTTATTGACAAAAACTTCAATTAAATCAAGAATATTCAATACCAAAAATAAGACATATAAATTTTTTGTATAGAGTATTATTTATTTTATAACTAACTCTTGTTCATAATATTGACATTTAAAATTTTATATAATTATCTTGTTCATAATAAAATTTTCTATACTTATCCGGTCCTTAATATAAAACTTAATTATTGATTTGATTTTAGTTCTAAATATAAAACTTATTTATCATATTTATCAATTTTTTAAATTATCCCTATTAATACTTTCTTAACTATATTAAGTATAATTAAGTATAAGAGGGAGATGGGATATTAAGTAAGATGATTATGGTATTTAAAAAAATTATATTTTTTATAATTAACTAGTTTACCTAATTTTTTAATTTAATTAAATTAGTTAAATAAGTCTTATATTAAGGACCGGAAAAGTATCATGTATTTATTGAATTTATTTATTTTTTGTAAAAAGAATATCTTTTTTTTTTTTTTCCTCCGTAGCCAGACGTCAGCCTCTAGCCGCGAATCCGCAAGTTCTAGCCACAGAACGCAAACCGCTCCCGTGCACATTAGCCGCCACTCGTTCTCTCTGCTAAGCTACGCTCATCCATCTCCTGCTGTCTCTGTTTCCACTTGCTTGTTCCTCTAGAAGAAGCCTTACTCTCTCCCTCTTTTCTCTCTCACCAAACCTATTACGCTTCTTTCGTCGTTAATTTTGCTGACCATGAAATTGTCCTCTTTGTAGCTTCCTGCTATGGCGTCGTTACAAATCCTGAAACTCACACTCTCTTCGGTTTCGTTTCTCAATCGAATTGTCCGAGAAAATCGACATGGACTTCCCGGGAGCCGTATTTCCGGGGAAGATGATCAAGGTGCGAACTTTCGGCGGTTCGAATTCTTGCAGAAGGTTTAGGATCAGCTGTAAAGCTCAAGATACCGACAACCAAAGCAATGGCAAGATTTTGTTTTCTTCTTTTTATTTATCTACTTTTTAAGTGCGCCGCATCTTATTTATGGTCTCTTCTTCTCTGTTTTGTTTCCTTTTAAGGCAAAATTGATGGTTCCTTGTTTACACAAGTAAAATCCGTTGTTGATGTTCGTTCCTAAAAATAGCAATGAAGTTACTGTCCTTCTGACTTCTGTTTTTCTGAGCGTAATTGTCATATTCATTCTGTTTCAGACCTAACAATCCGTAGAGATGACTGTGGCTTTGACTTTATTTGCCGCATATTCAACTGACTCATTATTCTAGAATTCTGCATTTAAACAGTATGCCTTATACTTTTTCCTTGAAAATAATGTTAGAATTTTCTTATTATTTGTATTTTAAAAGCAAAAATATTGGCCATTGTTGGATAATTATTGATATTTCCTTGTTTGGCCATTTATATATTACTTGGTACGGAAAACTTTATTATTTATTGGTTAGATGGGCAGATATGGGGTAAAAGAAACCGATATTGTAGATCATTGTGAGGACATTTCATGATTTAAGCATTTTCATGAGAAGATGTAGCCTTTGAAACTTCACTACTTGAAGATTTAAAAAGGAAGTTAGGCAAGAAAAGCATTTTGACTGTCTCATGAAACATGAGATGAAACTTTCTGATGCTCCATTCAGGGCTTCAACCTGCAAGCTGAAGGAAAGACGCGGCCTTATCATTTTCTTCTCTGTATATTTTTGTATGATATTGTGCATGCCAACCATTAAGTGCCTGTTTGGATAGCCCAAAATGTGGTTTCTTGAAAATTTATTCTAACACCCTTATTTTGATTGAATTAATTATGGGACCCTCAACCTAAAATCATATTTTGATTAATTGACTATGAGACCCTCAACCATGTTATCTCAGAAGTAGCTCTCACATGCTTTTGCGTTTTGGTTAAACCAATTCCGCCAAAATCATGCTTATAAGTGAATTTTATCCAAACTCTATTTTACCCTATGCTAATCCAAACGCATCCTAAGAAAAGGTCTTTTAAATGTGTAGCAGCTTTGCCCTTCCCTTATTTAGGTATTTCCATGTAAATTCTGTGTGGGAGCTGTCTGAGGAGGATTACAGTTTTTAAAACTTGGAAGTTTGTAAATTCCTTACCTTTGTTGGGGATAGGGGTGGCTGGCAGTGAGCAGAAATTGTTGTTAGTTGATTTCCGTTTCCTTCTTCTATAGCTCCTTATACATTCGATGCCATTTCTAATATGCATTTATAATCCAATGCGATGCTGCTGATAAATTGGTCTTTGGAAGCTGTGCAGCACTGACTCAAGAGGTTATCTGATTTTAGTTTAATGTGAAATGTGGTTGAGACTTGAGAAGATATTGTTTACCAAAGAGAGTAGCAGAGCAAACTTGAGTGACCTGCAAAATTTTCAGACTGATATTATTTTTAACTGAATATATGACGACTTTGCTTTTGTCTTCTAAATGATTTGATATTTGTCATGTTAAATCTGAAAGACGTGATCCAGCTTTTATCTATAATAATTGTTGAACTTGGTTACGTTTTTGTTTACTAATCAATATTGATACAGTTTGACTGACTAAAATTTTATCCATGAACCCCTTTCTTTACCTAAGGATAAGAAGTCAAAAGAATTTATATTTGCACATATGAATTATGATCACTTGTTTCTGTGTCAAGGTGGAGAGGTTGGCAACTAGCAAATAAAATATAATAGTTTATATTTGTCATAAGTTTTTCAGTTGCTTGGGTCTTTGCAGTTCTATTGGGTTAATAACAGAGCAACACTTTTTTAGCATAAATGCAAAAAGATCAACAAATGTGAAGATACAAGCATAATAGAAAACTTTATACATTTTCAGTCTTGCTGACATAATTTTGCATGGATGTTTTGTGTTTGTTGCATGTCAGAACGAAAGATATTGAGGTCATGCTAGGACCTAGGTAGGAAACATGAGGCTTTATACTTTCTACTTTTTTTCATTTTACTTCACACAAAAAAAAAAGGCTCTGCTAGTTCTTAAATCGCATTATAAGATAAGATGAATCATCTTTTTCCCCCCCTTTTGGGCCTTGTGATGAATAAGATGATGATGAACAAATATTGTTTGTGCCATTTAGAAATATAATGTTTACAAGCGTCAGCAACAGAAGCTTCTATACCGTTACCAATTTCAGATATTTTATTTGGTATGTCACTTTACATATAGATATATTTCTTTAGCGTACCTGCTTAGGCAGTGTTTGTTATTATATATACATATATTTTTTTTAAAATTTTGCTGCAATGTTTGCCATTTACTGGGTCCATTTTGGTCCTTAATAGTCTCAAGATTTTTTTTTTTCAAAAACAAAAAATTCATGCAGAGAAGATATATTCCTCAGTCCATTAGGACTTACAGAAAGAAGACAAAACATTCTTAAGAGAGAAATTTACTTAACGGAGGAATTTCTTTGATAAACTTCCAGGCGACCCTTGGGCTGTGAGGCATGCTTATGACAAGGCTGACGTCAATGCTGTAGTTAAATTTTACATAATGTCAATCCAACTGATTTTTATTTTTTTTTTATTTTTATTTTGCATGCATTCAACAGTCTGGTTTGGTTATGTGATTGTTTTCCTTTAAGTAATCATGGAGCCGTAGATCAATGTCATCTATCTGAGATATCATTTCAGAAAAACTATTCTGGAGACAGTGGCCGCCCTCTTTTTTATCCCTCAGCAAATTGCTAGTCGTAGAGAACATCAAGTGATTAACACTAACTACTTTTTTGGCTATCTTCTGATGTATTTTCAGGTGAAGAACCCACAGAGTCATTATTTATGAAGGAACTAAAGAAGAGAGGAATGACTCCTACTTCATTGCTTGAAGATTATAAGCAAGGTGACAATGAAATGGATGAGGAGATGAATATGAATGGAGAAGATAGAGGTTTTCCTAAAAGAAATGCTGTCTCTACCAATGTTGAGAGGAGCCTAGACAATCAAAGGGAGCGATCTATGGCACTGAACAGCGAAGGTCTTGAGGTTGTTGCATTATCTGACATTTTTTCAACAATATATTTATTAAATATCAGTAATATTGTTTCAAAGATTTTGGTGCCTGTAGTGTAGATTGTGTCACTTACATCTTTATCCATTACAGGGGCTGATACCTCGGGCTAAACTTTTGTTGTCTCTTGGAGGGACATTTTTCCTGGCATTTTGGCCACTGATTCTCATAATCATCGTGGCTTTTTCTGCTCTCTACCTTGTAAGCTCTCTTTCTGTCCCTTTGTCAAATTATATGCATTTAATTATTTGGATTATCGAAGTGCTGAAGTTTGTGATCCATGCTGCATTGTTTCTTCCTCCCAATGGTTTCATTAATTTAATTGTAGACAAAACATGACGTGACAGTGTGAAGCATTTTGCACTCTCCAGCCTTGTCGAGAACTGGAAACCTCTAATGAAATATATGTTCTTCTTTTGTGACATGTTCATAGACTGGCCATTACTTTTAGTTCCTCAACCTTCACTATCATCTAAGAAATATATCAAATGTGCAGTTATCATAACGCTCAGATGTAAAACTTGTCCCCACTGCACACACGCATGTGTCCATGCACGTATTTTATTTTTTTTTATTTGTTTATTTTTGAAAATCCTGCCAGCAATTTGATAGGGACCCTCGATTCTATATCTACAGTAGAAAGAAGAGAGCAAGGATAGAGGAGAGCAGTGGGAGAGTGGGAAACCGGTCATGGGAAGGTGTCAGGGTAGGGAAGTCAACTCGTAGCCCATGACCATGTGGATAGGATTAGTTATGGAGTAGCTTTTATCCTGTTCTGTTCCTTTCACTTTTAGTGGTTATATAGCAGTTTTAGAGTCAGTGATCTATCTACTATTATAATTAGAAGGACTAAAGATGCAGTTGGTGTCTTATATTTTGAATTATCTATGTACTGGATGTTCTCCCCTAACCTGTTGAAGAAATTAATGTTTCCAGATTCTGGCATTGTTTTCTTCACTTGAATTTCTATTTGATTGCTCTTTAGATTTCAGTATCTATCATAATGCTAAAGGAGGTGATCAAATGATTAAATCAGTTCTTCGTGTAATTTATTTTGAACTATTGTAACCTTTGATGTTCAAAGAGCTGGATTTGATTCTATTGTTTTTATGTGGCAGTACTTTGGACCGAGTTTTGTACATGATGCTTCCAAGATGCCTCCCTCACCTCCGCAATATGTGGATCCTTATGCCCTTCTGGAAGATGAAAGAATATCTCAGATGGCGCCTAGTCTCAATTGAAAGGCAAGAATTTACATACGTAAGATTGTAGTTACATATGTCTCATTTCAGCTCTCTTTCCATCTGTATGTCTCCTTTGTAAAATATCACCCTGGAAGAACTTGTGTAGTTATTGGTTTGATGCTCATTTTTATTCACTTCAAATCTCACTGTCTCTCCAAGCTTGTGGGCTTACATAAAGTTTTTTTATTTAAATCTTTAAGGCATAATAAGAATGACCAGAATAATTGCAAATCGATCTAGAAGTTCTAAGCTTAATCCGTAATTCCATGTGGTTATAGGGACTTAACTTTTTGAAATTGACTGTTATAACACCTTTTTTCCTTCCGAAGAAATTGTTGATGTACGGCAACTGTATAAGAATTTGTAAAATTACAGTTTGAACACGTAGATTGGGGGTTTTCCCTCATCCTTACAATTCCAAGCCCAAGTAAAAATTCGTTTCATAAATTTAAGCTCGAGTTCAAAAGTTTTCTGGTGTCTGATTTGATTTCCAATCATATGCGTTGGCAAAATGATTATATCCAATAAATTTGGTAGGTATAAAATGAAAAATAATATACAATAAAACAAACTCAACGAGGGGCTTTAACAATCTACATAGTAAAAAGCTTAACTCAGGATGATGACGGTTTATGGATATGATTCACCCCACTTGCTTACAAAAGGGCCAATAAACTATCACACGAAGGTTTCATTGCAGCTTAAAAGCTATCTGAAGAATTCCTAATCCTTTGTCTGTGTTTTTAGACTGTGAAGTTAGTTCATTTCTGTGCTCTATGAAAACCCAATAGCACTAGGAAATGGACTGAAAAGGCTTATAAGCTTTCAGGTCTTTTATAATACCTTCAATGGATCCAGCTGCTGCAACTATAGTGACAATAAGACAGACCACACTTAGCACTTTAAGCACCATCCATGGTGCAGAAAACTTGGGCATTTTTCTCTGTGAAATGTACATTTCTACAGGAAAATACACAGTCAAGGGCCAGAAAGAAAATGCTCCAAGTAGACCCAATATGCTGTTGAAGAAAGGCAGCATCATGGCGATCACAGTTGTAAATATCACGTACAGGGTCCTCCATATCACCCGAAACTGATTCACTCTGTAAAGTCCACACATTGGAATGCCAATTGAGTATTCTTTTGTGGCAAAATCGCTTTCTGGCCATCTATTGCTGCACCAATCTTCCACAATACTGAAAACAGGTTGGCAGAACACCTGCGCACAAATTATACTGTTAAGGTTCTCTGTTTTGTTAGCAGCTGAGGAGAAAGCAAGATGATTGAACTAATGGTAGTTGGGTCCAATGGGAAGAACGCAATTCTTTCTAGTGAGGTTAATGATTCGAATTTGATGAATGAATAAGAAAATTATGTTTCGAGAGTTAGTCTCAATTTGACCGAACAATCATCAAATTTAATCCAGTAATAGTGACCTGGTAAGCACCCACGAGATGAACAACAACAAAGATGTTTCCAATGTCGACCATCCAAAACGGCTCATAAAAGCCAAATCCAGTGAGAATGTTTCCAGGTGCACTGTTCCCAAATGCTGCATATCCCAATATCCCACAAGACAGATAAAACAGGCTGGTGATTGAAACTCCAACTGATACTGCCTTCTTCATCTCTTGATTTTCTGGTGGGCTTGATTTTAACGTGTCCTGCTCAAGCAAAAATACAAAATAAATACTGAAATTAAACTTCGCGCGCGTCTCTCTCTCTCTCTCATGTAAGAAATTTCTGGGTTAGAATGCAATGCGTGAATGAACTTAATTAGCTTGCCTGTATCTCAACAATGACAACGGAGAAGGCATAAGCAAAAGCAATGTTTCCAAGTGCTTGAAATGTGTTCCATATCTTCCCACTACTGGTGACATCCACACCAATTACTGTCCCAGACAAGCCTGTCTTCACATGCTTTCCTCCTTCAAGTTCCAAAATTGGAGCAGTAAATTAAGTAATCATATAATCTTTTTATATTTCGAAATAGCAGTAATATTCAGCGAAGGATTTGAGATTGTTGAACTATGGACTTTGATCCGTTCTTGATGGGCTAGACTATTTGATTAGGGAGTAGAGAATCTTCCTTGCCAAATGTTTCCCAGTCAAACACGGTATGAAATCAATATTAATTTCTATGAGAGAATTAGGGAACAAGAATCCTCATTGCAGGCAAGCAAAAAATCCTCCTGCAATAACTTGCTCATCACCCAAACCATGGAGTTTTCCAATTATCACTCTTTTTTTCTCTCATTTTTCTTCCTGATGTATCTATTGTGCCACTCCCATTTAGGCACTTGTTGTCTAAATCCAGTGTGTGCAATCAGAGCTTCGGCCCTAATCTGACATGGTACGTATTCTTACTCTTACATTTAATTTTTCTTCATGTGCTTGATGAGCAATACACATGTTACAGCTACAGGAACATCACACCTCTAACGCCAGTGAAGGAAAATTGAATATATGAGTAAGAATAGGTACAGGGTCAAATCAAGGTCGACCAATTGCATATGCAAGATTAGATTTAGACTATAAGAGCTTAAAGGATATTGGCAAATCCGATGCCCCAAAAAGAAAAACGAGGAAAAAAAAAAAAAGAGAGGGATAACTGAAAAACTCTACTGGGGCGATGAGGGAGATTTCTATTATAAGATCAGGTGACCACATTTAGGAAGGTGTTATCTTTCCCATTTAGTGCAGGAGGATTCTTTGCTTGCTCTTCAATTAATAATCAGGAAATTAATGTCGACTAATTTTTCTATTTAGTTACTTTTTTAATTCTCTAATTCTTTGGTTAAGAATTAATGCTGATTTAGTGGGAAACATTTGACTGGAGAAATTCTTTATTCCCAAACCAAATACTCCAACCCATCATGGAGTCATATCATGCCGACTGCTACACGATTCAATCCTATACCAAATAAATAAACTAGATAGTCTCTCACTGAATTTGAATTCTAAGTTAAAAGTGAAGTAAATGCAAAACTAACCTGCAACCTTGGCAATGGAAAGACCAACAGCAATGAAGGCATAACCAACAGACATGAGAGCAGCGAGAAGAGAGAGCCACGAAAGTTTATGAAAATTTGGGATTTGGCTTAATATGATCTCCACAATCCCAAATATTATCATATATCCGTTGTTTGACGAATGACACCCCACTTCATGTCCCTCCTTATGGAAGCAACTTGATCTTCTTACCGCCCTGTTTCACATACCCAATCAATATTCACTCATAACCACAAAAAACACATACCATCTTCGATCCTTATTATAAGATCTCGTTTGTAAACTACAAACAATGTCTTATAATTAGGACCAGAAGTAGTACTTCATATCCAAGTCACTTCTAGAAAAATAGCTTGGTTCAGAATAAGTCGTTTAGAGAGTAATTAATACTTATTTGGCAATTCTGTCCCCGTAGTTAATGTGTGAAAAGGGATAATCAAAGAGGCTAGAAATCTTACGCCATGCTAATGGATGCAGTAATAGTATATCCGATTGTTATCCCCACAAGATTTACATACTGTGCCACCCCACACAGCAAGTATTTCATTCCCCCTGCCAACAAATACACATTGAACATTACATCATTTATATTATATACTACTTCCGGTCCTTGATATAAAACCTAGTTGACAAATTTGGAAAACTTAAGAAAGTTATCAAATTATTTATTTATATAATTTGTTATATAATCTCTCTAAAATGCTTATATGTATTATTAGATTATATAATATCAATTGATAAGTGAGACAAATTAGTTGGAAAAAAAATGATAAATATAAATACTTTAAAGTAATTTAGTAATTTCCTTAAGGGCTTATATCGAGAATGGGAGGTAATGGGTGTGTGTGTATATAAAAGGTAATAATAAGTAAATATACACCGACCATATAAATAAAACATGCCATAAAATTTAGGTTTATATGTATTTGTGAGCACCAAGATTGGCCTTGACGATCTGAGTGTAGGTGTAGTTTCTGGTCCCATCAGGGGATCTGTAGCATTCAGTGAGCAAGCAGGAAGTGAAGAGAGTGACAAGGGAGAAGATGGAGAGGGCAATGGGCCCAGCAACCCAACCCAATTGGGCCATGGCCCAACCCAATGATAGGACGCCCGACCCAATCACAGCCGTCACTATGTGTGCACTTGCAGTGAACCAAGTTCCTGAACCCACCACCATCATACCATCCAATAATACAGTCAAAATCTTGTTAGTGACTTGAAAAAAAAAGAAAAAGAGAAGAGTCTTAGGAGTGATGGAGATCATATATTTCAAGTTCAGAGAAACTAAGAAGATTCATACCTGTTCGTTTCAGTTTACCGTCATCATCAAATTCAGAGTCAAACCCTCCATTCTGTATCGAGAAGCTTAGGTTTCTCTGCAACTCCATAGCCATCTCAGAGGCAAGCCTAAGAAGAAGAAGAAGAAGAAGAAGATGGTGAAGATGGTTAGGGAAGCAAGGCGGGTATAGCAGTAAGTACTTATATAGGGAAAGAGGAGAGAAATTTGAAGGTCTAGTTATGGAAATATTTCAAACCCAGAAATCCAAAATTTATTAGTGACGCTATGAATAAAAATTATGCTGTCAAAATGACTGGCATGGGAAGCATGGATATTTTACCAATGATGCGTTGGGACTACACAATTTTGACTTTCCAGTTACGATGGTCAATAAATGTCTTGACCTGTGACCACAAAACATGCATTCAATGTTCTGCCCCTTCCTTTTAAAAACAAAGGAAAAAAAATGTTTGCTTTACGAAAATAAGGAAAATTGGCTGATTGCCCCCTCCAATCTTTATTATAAATTTCATATAACTAATTTATAGATAATGAATAATTAGTTCAAATTTATTGAAAGCAATAAATAGGTTATAAATATACTTTTGTTTTCAAATATGTCTTTATAACAAATGAGAAAAATGATGAAAGATAATGTGTGAAAAAATACGATGAAAGAGATTATGGTAAAAAAGAAAAAAAAAAAGTAAGGGCATGATTGAAAAAAATACATTAAATATTAAGACAAAATCAAATTAAAACTTATAAAAACACTTTTTTTAAAAAAAAATTTAAAGCTTGTAAATATAATCGGAGAAAGTATTTAGGTTTTCAAGCCGTTGCCACTCTTTTCCTCTTTTTTAGCTATGTGCAAATATTTTTTCATTTGCATTTAGTCAAAAGATAGTTTGTACATAATTAAAAAGGAGCTTTAAAAGTAGCTGCATTCACTGAAAATATTTTGTACATCAGTCTTTCAACAAATTTCAAAGAAAGACAGAAATAAAAATTCCACTCAACTCAACCGTCTCTGATTAGGTGAAATCTCATAAATTCCATCTTTTAAATCCTTTAAAGAAAATTATATGCATTAATATTTAAAGTAAAAAAATATTTATATTAAAAAAAATTAATTCTGAAGTTATTTTAAATGGTCCTAAGATCAAAATAAAGCAACTCCCTCCATTTCAGAAGTACTCGTGTTACTTTTTCCTTACAGTTGTACTCCTGCTGATTTAATAACAAGGAAAACAGAATATATAAGAGATACTATCTCCGGTTCAAAACAGGAGAGCTAGAAAGATATTACTTTAATCCTAATATAAGATATTAATTTATTTTATCTCTAAAATTTATAATTTCTTTTCTAAAAAATATAGCAAGGGAGTTCTTATCAAAAGATGGTTATAATGCAAATAATTAGAAAGAGTATTTTAGAAAAATCAACTCATTTGTTAAAAAGAATTAACTTAACTAATTTTTTAAATATTCAAAAATTAATTATCTTGCTCTTATATAAAAACTAAAAGTAATAGTTAAAGAATTAATATAAGACTACTTCAACCGAATGTAGTTATATTTTTGAATAGTTTTGTTTGATAAAAAAAGAAAAAAGATTGCGTCAAGAAGAGTCAAGAAGTAAGAAAATCAAGAACATGTGAAATAAGGTCAATTAAAATTAGGAGCTGCTGAAATGGCATTTAGAAAGGACACTTGTCATCATCACCAATTATCAAACACTCGCCCAAGCAACTACCCAATCATCCCACAACATGTTTGTTTTACAGGAATAAATGAACGTGGAAAAAAAATAAGTGCACGATCCATTAACACCCATATTCATGTTTGGTATGGTTGAAATGTTTTCCTTTTGCCATTTCTTTTCCCTTAAATTAAAGCTTTGGTAAAAGCATTCCATCCGTGAACCCAAGAAATAGTGAATAATGGTTTAAAAAAAAAATAGAAGTCTAATTTTGATTCCCATAAAAATGGTATGAATATGATTTCCCAAGGATAATGATGGTAGATTGCAGTTCGCATATAGACACCTTTTTAATGTAATTTTACTCCTAACAATGAGCTTTTTTTTGTTTTTTGGTCTTTTCACAATACAAATTTACGAAAAATAAGTATTCCTTTATCTTCTTCATCATACTAAACATATTTTTTAAGTTTTTTTACAAGTTCAACCTCGTCCATATATAATTTCCTTATAATGTCCTTCAATACAATTTCCTTATCCACAATTACGGCATTTTTATTTGCAGTTTGGGAAAGTTATGATAAAGAATCCAATCGCACCTCCAGTGACTATCACAGAGTTCATGCAGACTGGTCGATATTTTTTTATCGTCATATAAATTTTTCTCGCCACCATCCAAAAATATAAGCGCTGATTTGTTCATTTGTTTGTGTTCATTTAGTTAACCTGTTTGCCCTCTTTTGTCCAGTTACGGTACAGACGTTCTTAGTGCATCCATTGATATTTTACGATTAAATTAATCACGCATCCGAAAATCCAAGGAGATTAGTCAAATACAAGCTGAAATTAATGCGAACATAGCATGGCATCCGATTGCAAGTTTCAATCATGTGCGCTTACAATACCAGACATTCACGGTTAAAAATAAAATTCATCCATGATAACAGAGACACAAAGGTACTGGACAGCAAATTCAACAAACAGAAAACATCAAGGGCTTCTAGTACTCATCTCCTTCGTCATCCTCGCCCTCAGCAGACTCAGCGCCCACTTCCTCGTAATCCTTTTCAAGGGCAGCAAGATCCTCACGAGCTTCAGAGAATTCTCCTTCCTCCATACCCTCACCCACATACCAGTGAACGAAAGCTCTCTTGGCATACATGAGATCAAACTTGTGGTCAATCCGAGAGAACACTTCAGCAACACTGGTGGAGTTGGAAATCATGCACACTGCCCTCTGAACTTTAGCAAGATCACCTCCTGGAACAACAGTAGGTGGTTGGTAGTTGATACCACACTTGAAACCAGTTGGGCACCAGTCAACAAACTGGATGGTCCTCTTGGTCTTGATGGTGGCGACAGCAGCATTCACATCCTTGGGCACAACATCTCCACGGTACATCAAACAGCATGCCATGTACTTACCATGGCGAGGATCACATTTGGCCATCATAGATGAAGGCTCAAATGCACTGTTGGTAATTTCAGCAACAGAGAGTTGCTCATGGTAAGCCTTCTCAGCTGAGATAACTGGTGCATAAGAGGAAAGCATGAAGTGGATTCTGGGGTAAGGGACCAGGTTGGTCTGGAACTCAGTGACATCCACGTTCAGGGCACCGTCGAACCTCAAAGAGGCAGTCAAAGAGGAAATAACCTGAACAAATCCAACAAAACGATGTTAAGACTTAAAACACAATATCTCAGGATTCACAAAAATTACCCATTCGCCAATTTCGTTTGATATACCTGAGAAACGAGACGGTTGAGGTTGGTGTAGGTGGGACGCTCAATATCAAGGGAGCGCCTGCAGATATCGTAAATAGCCTCATTGTCCAGAAGAACAGCCACATCAGTGTGCTCCAAGAGAGAATGGGTGGAGAGGACACTGTTGTAGGGTTCAACAACAGAGGTGGATACTTGAGGTGAAGGGTAGACTGTGAACCCAAGCTTAGACTTCTTTCCATAATCAACAGACAAACGTTCCAGAAGAAGGGAACCAAGACCAGAGCCAGTGCCTCCACCTACGGCATTGAAGACCAAGAACCCTTGAAGACCAGTGCAGTTGTCAGCAAGTTTTCTGATGCGGTCCAAGCACAGATCAACGATCTCTTTCCCAACTGCGAGAAAGTATTAAACATTAATAAACTGGGCAAGACAATATGAGTACATTAACAAACAAGAACAAGAGATTGAACTTAGATATGATCACTTACTGGTGTAATGACCACGGGCAAAGTTGTTGGCAGCATCCTCTTTCCCGCTGATCAACTGCTCAGGGTGGAAGAGCTGGCGGTAAGTTCCAGTCCTCACCTCGTCAATGACAGTCGGCTCAAGATCTACGAAAACAGCACGAGGAACATGCTTTCCAGCACCAGTCTCGCTAAAGAAGGTGTTGAAAGCATCATCACCACCCCCCACGGTCTTGTCACTGGGCATTTGGCCATCAGGCTGTAGAATGGATACAGATATTTGAGTTAAAATTAACAAGAAGCATCCAGAGAGAGATTGGGAACTCAAATAATTATAGGTAACAGCCGTTTAGGACAAAGAGCAAATGAGATTGCAGATCAGATAATTTTGAGGACATTTGATTATGAAATTACAAATTAGAAGAGGAACAACAATAGCGAAACGAGCAAAAACTCCAGCATAATGATTCAAAAATCTCAGATCTGAAAACTCAAAATTTTCGACACCAGCCGTACAAAAGAAGAGATACGAGCCAAAAACCGCAGCACTACGATTGAAAAATCTCAGATCTGGAAACCCAGAAAATTTTCGACACAAGCTGTGCGAAAACTAAAAGCTAAATCCAACGAAGTTCCGGATCTAAAGATATACTATGATAATTGACGACTAGAAATTCCCAGATCTGAGAACTGACACGATTCACAACACAAACCGTAGAAGAAATCCAAAGAACGCTAGAATTCAGATCCCAAGAGAAAATCAAACAAAAACGGAAGAGAAAATTTAGATCCGACCATTACGAAACAGATATTAACAGATTAAGAAAAAAAGATACGCACCCCGATTCCATGCTCGAGGCAATAGAGCTCCCAGCAGGCATTTCCGACCTGAATACCGGCCTGACCAATGTGGATTGAAATGCACTCTCTCATTGTCGCTGAATACAGGAGATGAAACGAGAATTGGAGAAGGGAAGAGAATCAGAGAACAGGAATCGCAGATAAGACAAAGAGAACGAAGGCGTTTATCAAGACGCCTTCTTCTGAAACCCTTTGGATGGAGGAGGGAGGCAGAGATAAAGATGGTATTTATAGGAGGATGAGGGAGATATTTAAATTTTGAAATCACGGAGATGCGCTGTCGTGTTCCATGCCAACGGACGGCAGGAAGCGAATGAGTTGGCTAACACCCGTTGGGCGTTTGGTTTGGATAACCACCCTGGTAACCCAAGGGTTAATCTTTTTCTTTTCATTTTTCAAATTTTGAAATCCATTATTGCCACCGATTTATTTTATTTAACCAAAACCCAAATTTTTAAAATCTCCATACTTTATTATAACTGTCCTTTTTATTAATTTCTTTCGCCAATATATATCTGGTTTTTCTTTTACTATTTTTGTTTTCTGTGAAATTTGTGTGAAAATAACTAACTTCATGTTTTTTTAATCAATGTTTATTTTTGTTTACTCATATGTATTATACAAACGTGACCCGTGGTTTCAATAATGATTATTTTAAAAAAAAGTTTTGTGATGATGACATGTGTCATTATGGTTAGAAATTAGAAATTGGTAGTAAAAATGATATATAAATTTGCTAGTTATTTAAGAAATTAAAATTTTTCAAGCAAACTTGACAAAATAAGTTCAAGAAAATTTTTTTAAAGAAATTATTGTGGAATAAATGGAATATAAAATAAAAACATTTTTATTCTCTTAAACCAAGTTTTTTTCTGGACTTAGCTTTCATAGAAAAAGCCCATTTTCATTTTATTTTACAGAAGTTGCAAATTGTGATAATTTTGATAGAATGAACACAACATATTTAGGTAGCATTTGGAAAATTGGAACTATGTTTATTAAAGTAAAAAGTGTGGGCAAAAAAAAATAAAATAAAAATGATTTTTAAAAAAAAAATCTCTTGCTATATTATCAATTTTTCTTTTAATGAGCTAATATGTACCTATCCTATATTCTTTAGCACGATATCATGAAACAGTTGTTATTTTCCTCGTAATTATAATGAATTCTTTAAATAACTCCAAGAAAAAATACCCTCCCCTTTTCTTTTCGAATGCATAATTAAAGAAGATTCAATTTGCTTTTCCGAAGCTCATTCATTCATAGGAAATGGGACCTTCTTTTTTGAATAATAAATGGGACCATTTTTTATTTTCATTAATTAATAATTAATAATGGGGCCAACAAAGTAGGAAATTTATATAATATGAGTAATTTAACATTTTTTGAGTCTTTTCATAATTAGTGTTGGTTATTGTATCTAAACTTTGTCAATCTATCTTATTTTTTCTTGCCAGAAAAAAATTCTATACATAGATATACGTAGTCACCTTAAAACGTCGACCATAAAAACAAGTACAATATAAAATAATACTCATAATATTTTATAATTATAATTAAAATCTTACAATAATATGCTTTTGGTTTTTAATATAAGAGTTAGTTTACTAATTTAAGTAAATTAAAAAAACTAGTTAAATTAGTTATTTGTCATAAATAGATGTTATTTTATCTAAAATATTCTTACTAATCAAGTATATATGCTAAAACTATCATTATTACAAGGATTATCTTTAAAAAAAATAGATAAATATAAGATGCAAAATAGATTGGGATCTTATATTCATAATCAAAATAAAAATCAAACAAACTATTAAAAACCAAAAGTAGTAGTATTTTAGGCCGAAAAGTTAACCGTCTAAAAGAAAAAGCCTCTCTTTATATACACATTATTTTTCATACTCATCAATTTTTGTTCTGGGATTAAATCAATCCCATTGAGTGAGACTCTTGACCTAAAATCAGGTCTAACAATATACTCTTAAGGTGTCAAGGGGGTCCCTTCTTTCGACATCACAACTAACACAAAAATAGAAGATTACTCCTCAGTGAAAATTAATTTATCAGCTCGGGGCAAATCTCGTGATAAATTGAATACAGTGGACCCTCCTTTGCTTTCCTTGACAATGATATCTCACATTCAATCAAGTGGAAGTCTATACCCACTATCGTTTGCTACCCACAAAATTATGGGTAAATTAGTTGGTGTGTGTACAGCCAACGATTCTACGTGGTGAATAATGTAAAAGACATGTTTATATACAGATCCATCATCATCACACTCCAGTAGCTTAAAGAACATGTTTTTTCAAGCTCCGTGGCTTCCAGTTGTTGGGAAAAACGATCCCCCAAAATGTGCATGAAAGAACATCCATATCTATTGCCTTTAGGTATGTACAATCCCCAAATTTGGGATGAATGATAACAGGGAGTAACAAAAAGGAAATTATTCAGTTTTCAAGTGATGTCTCAGTAAACACTAACAGTATATGCAACTAGTCATGGTCAAGTGACGAGCAATCAAGAAGGCTCCCCATTGTGGTAATACATGCCACTAGTCATGGTCACGTGACAAGTAATCAAGAAGGCTCAACATTCGGGTCACTGGTCACCTTCATAGCTTGCGAAATATAAAATGCAATACCTTTTTTCGGCCAACTATAAAATGCAATACTAGACCAAGCTTAAACCAGGAAATACAAGGCCAACTCAACTTGCTTTTGATTGGATATGAACGTAAATGTCCTCAGCAAAAAGAAAACAAGGCAGATGCTAATGTACTTCTAAACATTGCTATAATTCAAATTGTCAATATTCTGTCACTGGGGAAAAGCTCAGTACACTTGGCGAGTTCCAGGTGTGAAGTGCCAGAGGGGATTTCATGATATGTTACCCTCTGTAAAAAAATGCAGAAGGATCTCGTTCTGCGGCTTTCCAGATGCATTGTCAGTCAGTTAAAACTGCAGTCATGGATAATTCCATTACCCCCTTATGTTCGTTGTATCTCTAATATTCCTCTGTTCGATGTTCCCTTTTCTCTAAAGGAAACTATTATTCTTAATCCAAGTCACAGGCTGCAAGCCATCCAACAGTGGAAACTAATTATTTAAGTAAGTCAAGCAACAGGCTGTGCACCATTCCATGTATGGAACTCTTCATCAAGCTCGTTCAATTTTCGGCTTCGGCTTTCTTGTAGATAAGTGACACCAGACCACACTCCCCGAATTAATAAGATGCTCACGAACACTACACTTCCAAGTGTGCACACCACCTACATTGAATGATTGCAAGTATTAATGGGCAAACAAGAAGTAGAAATCTTGAAAAGAGGTACTAAACCAAAATCTCTAAGCCTAAAAGATTAATTACTTTCCACTCCAGGCCAAAAATGGAAATACAAAATCCATAGTTATATTTTAGTAAAATTTCTGCATGTACATTTTATTTAGTTGAGTTTTCCTCCAGATCGATTAACCTTTATGTATTCTAATTTGATGATTCACTGAAAACGAAATGTTGAGAGAAGGAATTCAGAGTTTTCGATTGTCTGAATCACGTTATTACATTGCTATTAGAAGACATAGAAACATAATCTAGTTAGGGCTGATTGGTGTGCATAGAGAACGCATGCCTTAGGGAAACAAACTCTTACCTATGAAAATAACTACCAAAACAGATCCTAACAGGAACCAATATTTACCAAATTTGATTCTCTCAGGGACCACCAGAAACAAACTAAGGGTGCAAGAAGCAAACATTTAAATGCTGGTTAGTAGCTATCGGCTTCAAGGGGATAAGCCTCTAACAAAGAGACGCACACCAAGGGACATCCTGTAGCCTCGATTAGCACCCAAGATTTATGGACTTCACTTAAATTTCTTTCATGCAGTGATTTCTTAATTTAATTAGTCATGTGCTATTCAACATTGAAAAACAGTAAGCTTCAGGCACATATATCTTGTGATAAAAACCTTCACAAAGGTGAGAATTCATGCTGCTCTCGAAGGCTAAAAATAATCCTATTATTACAGCATTCTTTTAGCAATTCCCAAGAGAAGAGAGGTTACATGATGCAAACCCTAAACAAGCTCAAATGAAAAAGACATTGCACATAGGGATGGCAAAAAATCCACAATTTAGGTGTACGTGCTAATTGCCCTATTCAATTATCCAAATTGAGGAATTTCTAAATTCTAACCTATGGAGATGGGAATGAAAACCACACTACCTCTGTCAAATCCTCCAAGTAGAAAACAAGGATCATGTCCATGTCCATGTCCAAATTACTCAAGCACCACACCTATATTAACATCCATTTCACAGTTTCACATTAACTATACTCATTCTATAATAACTTATTTTGGCAATTACTGAGCAATAATTGTAGCCCCTTCCATGTCCAAAATCCCCAATGTCCTTTCATTTGCCTCTCAAGAGGATACAAGAAAACCCTATAAGAGAGTCTATTGTTGCCGTCAAAGCTTTTCGCCTTCACCTTCTCTCTTTCTCTTCTCTAATAAAATCCAGATTCTTGCTTTGTCATTCCTTCATTTCAATTAAATTTGAAAACTCCACGAAAAATGACATTCGAAAACATAGAAACATAATCAAACCCTCATCTCTTGTTTTCTTCTCTTCATTATTATTTGATCCTTTCTTCTCTCCTTTGTTTTCCCTCTTTCGCTTTCTTCCTTTTCTATGTAATATTGTATATTCATTCAAGGTCTTCATAATCAGGTAGATTTGTGATTTTGCTCATTTATTATTAGTTGAAACTGTCTAATGTCTGCTCTAGCTAATTTCTGTTCACTGCGTAAAGGAATTTATTCAGCTGCTGTTGCTAGTAGTACTTTTGAACTTTTAATTTTGTGGCGTGGTCCTTACCCAATGGCAAATCTCATGTTTTAGGTAATTCCCCAGATATTTTGATTTGAATTCGAAGGTGCAGCTTTAAATTAGTTGTACGGTTTGAATTAGTCTTCCATCTTTACTTTTTTATTTTTGTTTTAGTTTTATTGGATTTTTACTTAATTTTTCACCATTTTTTGTGGTTGGTAAATGGGTTCTCCGCAGATCCCCATACCCTCCTCGTGGGGAAGGGGATCAAAAGTGCTTTTTCAGCGTAGCACTCACCTAGCCCTGCTGCCATTCATAGTTCTTGTATCCTAATTGTCCAAAATGAATCAAAGAAACATCTTAACAATTACTGAAGAATATCTAAATTACTCCAGAACACTAGTTATTGGACCAGGAATTGCAATATAAGAATCGGCTAACCATCCACTTTCAAATTCTAATCAACATCACAATCCCCTAAAGTAGGAATAGCTTCAAATTTTAAACCTCCAGTTTAATAAGGCACCCTGATGATGCTTCCAGAAAAAAATATTTGCCAACGCTTTATCACGCACATCTCCTTGAATGTCATTAAAATACCATAGAGAGATGTAAGTAGCCTAATGAATATCTCCTGAGAGCAGAAAGCATCCTTTAATTAGCTCACATTAGATACTAGAATTGGCGGCAATAACATTGTTCACGACACTCACGCCCATTTCAAATAGATGAACATAATACCTCAAGAAATGCCTTAAAAATCCACAAGAATGCCAGCACGAGTACACCGTTTACAGAAAATCCCACCTGCATTGTAAGAAAAGAGTTAACAAAAAGAAAAAGCATCTGACTTTTACTTGAAAGTTGAAAGCAAATTGCTTGATCATAAAATCCAGTTTTAGCCCGGGCATTGGAAGAGGGGAAATGAATGGCTTCATCACATTCACAAATTTATCGCCATGTCTCAGAACCCCAAACAGAGGAAATTATCCAATTTGACATATATATGACTTACAGAAACCCTTTCCCCATTTTATGTAGACTACTCAACCATATGACTCCACCAGGGTACCATAGGAGTGTGCATTCCCTACTAAGGCTGGGTATGAGGATTGGTACTAAGGGGAGAGCTGATATGACCGAAATAAATTAATCGTGAATTTGTTCTCTAGTTAAATGTTAGATAACATCCATTGTCCTATCCGATCACCTATTCTTAGGAGAAGACACTGAGTTAGAGAAGAAGATTCTTTTCTTACAAAGAAAGTATGCGTTGATTACCCTTCCCGGTTTTCAATTCCATAGCAAGAAATTGCCAACCAACACCAAAAAAAAAAAAAACTCAGGAGGATGATCCTTACCAGCTTCGTTGAAATGGCTTGAGGAAGAACAGATCGAACTGCCGTCCTAGCTCGTTTTGAGACCTTTTTGAACATATTGCGAAGAAACCTAACCAATAGATCCAGACTTCTTTCTTCCTCGTCATTGTCGTCGTTGCCGTCGTCCTCGTAATCGTCGTCGATGCCACCGCGTGCCGAATTGATAGTGCGTCTCCATTTGCGAGGATCGTCTACTGAATTACTGTCGTCCTGAAGCGAAATCAGAGAGCAATTACAGCTGAAATTTCAAAAACATACAGAACTTAATTCCAAGAGGTATCTCAAACCTGAGGAAAATTCGGGATACGTGGTCTTGAAGCCTGCAGAGGAGGGACGATGATTCGTGAATAACGAAGTTGAAGAGCGGGTTTGGGCAGAGGAAAAGCAGAGTGCGGAATCCGAAATAGTGGGGGAGATTGAACTGTGATTGAAAACACCATAACGGTGATTACAGAGCCGAGTGGCAATAACTTCCTCCACTGACCGCCAAAAGAGCGTCAGCAACTACCATTGGGGTATGGAGATGAACCAAGATGCAAAGGTCACTCCAAATGTTTCGTATTCGAGAAAACGCCCAAACTAGCCACGATACATTTCGCATTCGAGAAAATGCCCAAACTAGCCAACAACAACGTACGTACGTCCTCTTGTGGAGTTTGACAATCCCATCCCTAAGAGCACCAAAAAACAGGAAAAAAAAAAAACTTTAATGTTTAAAATAATTTAAATATTCTTTCATACAAATATAAATTCAAATTTCAAAAAATATATTTACGGGATATAATCAAAGAAATTTTAGGAACTTAATAAAAAACTATAACCAACTAATTAAAAGTTAAATAAAATTATAACAATTTGTGAATTAATTTTTTCTTATCTTTTATTAATTCAGAAATATATTTTGATAACTTTTTTTAAATTATGACTTGTACAAATGTAATAAAAATCAAACCATGAGCGGTATCAATGTAATAAAAACAAATCACACTAGCTAATCCAATTCATAAGTATATTGACTACCGCACACATGAATATTGAACAAAAAGAGAAAAAATGACCAAAAAATCCGTTATATTTCAAAATGATAAATAGTTCATCAAAAATAGTATTTTTTATCATTTTCTCTATAAAAAAAAGGTAGTCTTTCTTTTTTTAAATTGGGAAGGAAAATACACATATATCATTACTTCAGCGAAAGAAAATACCAGTTGACAGAAATCGATTTTCAGAATTTATTGGATTAGGAACAGAACTCCCAGCTTTAATTAGAGTAACCTATTTATCCACATGTTCCACCTCTTCTCTGTTACGAGGAAATGACCAAAAGAATTAAAGTCATTCACAAGGATACAGGCTACTCTAGCAAGATGATCAACATCCCTATTTTTCTTTTTTATACAAAAAAAATTTGAAATAATTACTTTTTAGTTTTGAAAGAATTACCATAAGGTTCCAAAGAAAAAATTTAATTACTAAAAAATTTTATTGACAGGTGTGCAATATAAATCAATTGTCACTTCTTATATTAAAACTTGTTATTGTATGCTTTTCAGTTGTCAACAGATTTTAAAATAATTAAATTTCTTATTTAAAAACTGATTGCAATTCTCTTTTTTTAGTTTCTACACAAGAAGTCTTCTGGTAGAGTTAATAATGTTTTCCTGTTAAAGGAAAACAGAGAAAAGAATCAATAGTAACTTGGAAGGAATGGTAACCATGGTTGTCCGTTGTGATTATAGAGAAAAAACTTGCATAATCATACAAAGACCTCGACAGCCTCGTACCTCCACTTCAGCAAGAAAATAATCATTTAGAATTGGTGGATCACATGGGCTAATTAAAAGCCCCATATTTTTGGTGTGTTGAAGAAAGTTTTGAAGAAACCAAAAGTGTAATAAAATGGGAATTGGAATAGAGACATGTACATAAAAATAAACTTTGACGCGCTTTAAAAAAAAAAGGGAGAAGGAAGAGAATTTTTTTCTTAAATTATATTTGGTTTAATAGAAATAGGAGAGTAATATAAATACATGAATAAAAAAACAGACCTAAATTTCCCGAGTTACAAATACATGCCATGCAGATGTTTGGGATGAATTGGCAAAGCCAAGATAGTTTTCTTAGCATGCATTCCCAAATAGTGTGGCCCTCCATAAACTTTTGGAAGGAATGAATATCAAATAAATCTATGCATATAGAATGAAGAAAGGAGTGTTATTCCACCGTATTATACAGCTCCTTCCAACCTTTGGCTTCCCTTTCCATCTCCATGCTTGCTTTCTAGTGTCAGCCAAACATAACATTTAAATGTTTACCCAATTCTTTTTTTTAAGGGGGAAAAAGGAAAAATAGTTAAGGATGTAGAATCGATTTGGGGTCTATTTGGATTGGTGGTAGAAAAAGTAATTTATTTCTAATCTGACTTTTAAAAAAATAAGATTGGGTAAAAGTTAAATTGGGTAAGGTAAATTGTGTTTGAATTAGAGTTTAAAAAAGTTAGTTTGTAAAAGTTAGATTAGTAAAAGATTGTTTGGATTATGATTGAGTAAAGGTAAGTTTGTTTGTAAAATTACTAAATGGGTATGAGTTTTAATAAATAATAAAACATGATAAAAAAAATTTACATGATACAATGAATTTAAATTAATTTAATATGAAGAAGTGAAATTTAATGAGTGAATAAAATTTTAAAACTTTAAAGAAATCATAAAAAAGATTATAAATATAAAGTGAAACATGATAAAAAAAATAAATTAACATAACACAATGAATTTAAATTAATTTCATATGAAGAAGTGAAATGGGAGAATTATGCGAAAATAATGAGGAGGAGTGAGAAATTAACAACCAATCTGACATGTTAATTAATAATGGTCCATAAACTCAGTTTCAATTTGAATAAGCACCTCAGATTAGCTTATCCAAAACATACGTTTACATCCGCCTTTTGGTCCTATATCAGATCCCCCAGTAGCCCTCCCAAACAGCCCATGATTTTCCAATCGGGTTTAATATAAAAATAAACTGCTTTTGGGTCAGAAAATGCTGACCCAAACAAACACTTAAAAGTTGAATTGAGTTTGCACCTATCTTACTATTTTTGAAGATATTATGTACTGTTATTAAAGTCATTTGTAATGAACAATTTTCTTTTGTCAGGAGAATTTAAAAGGATCTTGAATTTAGAAGTTGTGATTTTGGCCTAGTTCACTTCAATTCATGAGCTCTGTGTCTATTTTTTTAACTATTTGTATGATATTGTTCTTCAAAGTTTCTCCCCAAGGTCTATAAACGTAATTCCATTGAATGTTTCTCCTCCAATTTCTTACTATTGTCTTGAGAATTCATAGATATAGCTTCTCCTTTGATGTTGCATAACTTTACCTCATCATGATTGTGGGGAGCTTACTCCTCAATTATGCGTATCATAACAAGGCACGTGAGTATCTTCCCCCCCCCCCTCCTTTTTTTTGTATCAAACTGAATAATTCATTCAATAAGAAAAGAGTTCATGAGAAAAAGTAATAGCACAGATAAATGCTCATAAGAGCACTAATAGCGACCAAATAGAACATAAAACAAAGAACAAACAAACCATAATAACACTAAGGGCCTATTTGGCAAGCACCCCAAACCATGGTTTTGGGACCCAAATCATGGTTTAGAGAAAATATTAGCCAAATAGGGATAAGAAATGTGAAACTATGATTTGGGGGCAAACCATGGTTTTGAACTCCCAACCATGGTTTCACCAGAAGCGGTCCAGAGTAGTTTCTTGACTCAAATTATTTGAACCTTGATGTGGGCCCAACACGAATGACAAAAGAACCCCATTTCCTAATTCAAATAATTGATTCATTTCCCAGTCGGTTCTACGCATTTGCTCTTCCTTTAATATTATGTTTTATAAACATATATGTTTTTAATATTATATTTTATAAATATATATACATATATTAATTATTTATTAATTATATTATCTTTTACATTATTAATTACGTTAGTAAAAATTAATTTATTAATAATTTTATTTTTCAAATCAAAATATATTATAAAATCTATCCCTTATATAATTATCATATTAACTTATACTTTTTTTAGTAATTTGCACATGTAAAAAGTACTTCTGGTAACAACTATCTAAACACTCTCACTTTTCAGAATCACTTTTTCACAAAATCTATTCTTCCCAAAATCTATTTTCCAGAAGCTATTCTCTAAACTATGGTTTGGTTTCCAAACATCCCCTAAATGACAAAAGACCAAAAATTAAGTAACCAAATTCCCAGCCGTAAGAGCATTACTAGTTGGGATTTTCACCAGAGAAGAAGGGGGTTGTGAAAGCCAGTTTTTCAAGCACTTCTCCCTTAGAGCTACATGAGCACACCAGTCAGCAGTTAAGTTGTGATGTCTTGAGATCCCCTCAAAGATGCAAGATCTCAAAGCTTTGTCAGGATTATGAATTTCCTCCACCAAATCAAACATTCCCATTTTGGGCATTTCAAAAGCTGATTAACAACCTGAATTAGTGAAAAACAATCAGATTCAAACTTAATATTATCAAAACCAACATCAATACACTAAGAAATGCCTCGTTAAAGAGCAGAAACTTTAACCATAAAGGGAGAGGTAGCTTCCGCAACATCTCCTATCAGACATAACAATACTTCCCCCGAGGGACATCTGGCAACCAAACCAATACTTGATGATGTTGAAGATTTATCACAAGCACCATCACAATGTAAAGTCACATTAGGCCACATACTACCTCTGGTCTTTAATATAAAAGCTAATTGATTAATTTGAATAGATTAAGAAAACTAGTTAAGTTAATTATTTGTAATATGTCTTCCCCAAAAATCTCCTTGCTAATTAAGTACATTGGATAGAATTACTATTACTACAAGGACTATCTTAAGAAAAATAGATAAATATGAGAGACAAAGTGGATTAGAATCTTATATTTAGGACCAAAATATAAATCAAACGAGTTCTTATATTAAGAACCAGAGGTAGTAGCTTGTAAGGCATTAGAAACTTCAGTTGAACAGCTGTCAGAGCTCTGCACATTCAAGCCAACACAAGACCACCCATTTGCATCCAATACGACTCCAATAAGTCTGTTGCTCTTTGAATAATACTCATAGGGTTGCAAGACTTATATTAAAAAATAAAGCAGCAACGGGTCTTCTAGATTTGCCAAAGCAAACAAGCCGCAAGGGCCTTCGCTTTTTCTAGCCATTCATCACTGCGTAGCAGACCCAAGAGCCAAAAAGCATCAATGTGAGTAAGACTACTATCATTAATTCTTAACCCCAAACTACTACCAAACCAAACAACTCGAGTTCTATCAGAAAGAAGCAACAGATATTCAAGAGTTTTAGGCATACGATTGCAAAGGGAGCATATAGGTGAACTTACACTTTCTTCTTCCAAAGAGCCTCACGAGGGGAAATTGCACCCTTCATCACCATCCAGAGGAAAAAATTTTATCTTTACTGGGACTCTCAACTTCCAAATTTCTTTCCCAAATGCT